TTTGCATTGTGTGTTCGTGTGATTATTGAACACGCTCCATTACCACTGCTCCACTACCACTAGGTAAACAAAGATTCATTGGCATTGGTTTTTCCTCTCATGAGTATCGTATGCATTTTCTTTGTGGCGCATTCACTTTCTCATTGGTACATGCATTTTCTCAGTGGCGTGTACACTTTCTCAGTGCCACATGCACTTTCTTAGTGGCACATGCACTTCTCAGTGCCACATGCACTTTCTCCTATACATATGTGTTTAAATTCACCCAGGCCCAATCGCAGTGTGGCACGTCGGCTCTTGCAATCTTTGAATGGTGCTGTGGAGACTGGGGATGATGGTACCGACACCCCTCCGGAGCCCACTATGGAGGACCTCTTTGGCCCTGACCCGTACCAATTCCCTGACAAGGCCGACAAGTGTGAGCGGGAAATGGTTGAGGACTCTCAGATCCCTGACTCGCCAAAAGAGGTGGACTCTCAAATCCCTGATCTTGAGGGCTCTCGGATCCCTCAACATGGTGTGATGGACGCTCCTGGTTCCAATGAGCTGACAAGTGAGGAAAAGGAGGCTGATCTTGCCACTCAGGATCGGAAACGTGAAGCTCACCGTGCTTCAAGTAGATTGTGGCACCAGAAATGGTCCAGCAAGGGTGTGCCTCGAAATGACCCACCGCCCGCGCCAGTTTGTCCTGCTCCAAAGGCAAAGGCCAAAGAGGCGGCGGCCGTGCCAGCGCCATCCCTGAGCAAAGCTCGGGAACAATTCATCACTGAATGGATTGCCCGGTCTGATCTTCCTAAGTCCCAGGAACGATTTAAAGCTGCATGCAAGGCATGGATGGACAGTTCAACCAGGGCTGACATGCTGGGCACCCGAGGTGGTGTCCAAAAGTGAGGGTCCAGTCTCCCACTTTGAAGTGCAAAGGAAGTTTGGTTTGAATGTTTACTGATATAATCTGATATATCAAGACTAATATGAAGACTTGTTCATGGATACACTCAATGGACCCAATATAGGATGGCATCCAGAATGGTGCAATGGGGTAATTGCTCCATGGGATGCGAAGAAGACATAAGAAGACCGTGTTCGCTTCCGAACCACTGACTACAAAAAAGGAGTTTGATTCAGCCTGTGCGTATTTTGTTTTTGAAAGAATATGTCCAGCAACAGTTCTTCCGCCCCAGGCCCGAGCCTGCATGGCCAGAAGGCCCATGGTCCCGCCCCACGGGTAAACGAAAGAATGACAAAACAACTAGTCTGCTGTAAGTGTGAAGCCTATAGTGTGAAGGTGTGCAAGAACTAGTCTTGAGATGTCTTGAGGATTGTATCTAAAGGGCGTTCACAGATCTTCACACCTTCTTTGCGAGGGTTTGATTACATGGTTTGATTGCCGGGTATGTCTCGAATGTGTGGTTCATTGAACAAATCGTCCTCGAGAAAAGAATACATAGTTCACGCAATGGTTTTCATGTTTCAACTATATGTATATATAAGAAGGTTTCTTGAACCTTTGAGATGTGTGGGATGTCACAGCGTCGGCCAGGCTCTCTCGTGAACGACATCTTCACTGGAGTGAAGGCTGACAGGTCTTCCTTAGGACCTAGGTGGTAATGTGGATCCAAGACCAGCACATTTCAATACAAGTGTCGAAAACATACCACGAAATCAAACCTATCAGTTACTTAAGTACTTCACTTCGAGTTTTCCCTACATATTTTTTTGGGTCTGTGTTTTTGAGTGGTCTGGGTAGTCAACCACTGCTTGCACTGTCATGGGCATAACCATTGCTTGCTTTGTCATGGGCATGACCATTGCTTGCTTTGTCATGTGCAGGACCATAGTTTGTGTCCTCATGGGCATGACCATTGCTTGCTTTGTCATGGGCAAGCTTTGTGTGACCAAAGTCTGGTAGTGGAGGGTGGGCATGGATTCTAATGGAATCTAAATGCCACCAATTGGGGCCCAAATGCCACCAATGTAACTTTGTGGCATTGCAGTCAAGATCGGTTCCAGGTGCTGCCAATCTACCGCAACTGAACTCGAAACAAGTCTGGATTTCCCGACGAGTATCGGGCTTGCTCCGTGGGTGGTAGCATAGCAAACAATCCTGGCACAAAGTGCAGCCTCCAAGCTTCGACGCTGGGCTCTGGATGGATTTTGGCAGGGTTTACTCGTTTATCAAGCGCAAGTACGATGTCAACCTTACCAACGACGAACTTTTGACGGTCATCACATCCAACCACAGATTCATGCTCGAAGTGAGGATTGCGCCAAAGGGGACTTTGGTCGGTGGAAAATACCAGTACACTCCGCTCAGGATCAAAGCAATCCAGAACCACAATGAGTGGTCGAACAACAACGTTCAGGATGCCCTTCCGGAGCATGAACGCTTTGTGACCCTGGACGAGGAGTATACTTCGGTTGAATACCTTGCCGGCCAATTCCCTCGAGTTCCGCGTAATGCATTGGGAAAGGTGAAGGAAGTGGCACCCACCATCCTTTACTACTATACGCACCGAGCAGCCCTCATCGAGATCATCAACATGGGTTTGATCCCTGGTGGAAACAGAACCGGGGCCCGATTCACCTTCTTGACGAAGGAAGATCCTTGGACCATCTCAGGCACCGATTACGCTGCCATGGCGGCTACTCGCCCCATATGTGTGGCAATGGACCTGCAGATGATGATTTTGAACGGGCATCGGCTCATTGAAACTACCGCCGGGACGATCTTGTGCCCCGACTGGATCGCCAATCGGAACGTGATCTATGTCTACGACATGGAATCCAAATGCTACGCCTTTGCGAACCACGTCTACGCCCACTACCGTGGCATCATTGCTGGTGAGACAAAGGCATTCCATGCCGCACGCACTGGGGGACCAGTTGCCGATGACGATGAAATGGTGAAGAGTCCACTCGAAAAGTAGTCCTCGATGACTATGAAAGATGGTGTGGAAAGGTGGACACCTTCTCCCCTTTCGTGTACGGCGAACTGCATGAGCGCCCAGGTGTGAAGGACCAGATGATCTCAGGAAAGCGAAATCCTGACCTGGAAACCTATGAGGTCACGTACATCGTTCGCAGACCCAATTTCAACGCCTACCGAAATCAGGTGTCGCCCAAAGAGATGCTACCCAACTTCAACCGCCCTCGGTTTGATTGGCGCAAAGTCCACCCCGAGACTGAGGGGTATGGCAACACTCGATGGATGGTCGTTGAGGGCATTCAGATGCCAGAAGATCAGTGTCCGACGTGCAGGCACACCTATACCCATGGCATTATGTCCTGCATCACTTGCGGCACCTTCCTCAACAATGCCTCAGATCTGTGTAAGGCTGCCCAGCTCATTCGGATCGAGGAAATGGCAACCGACCTTGGGATCGAAGTCACGATGGACATGGTTCCTGAGGACAGGTTGCAGGGAACAGGGGTGAGGAAGACGCCGGCGGGGACGCCTGGCCATGAAATCCAACGTGCTTCACGTTCGGGCATCAACATCCTGAAAGCGAACGCCAAGAGCCATGTCCAGAAGGCGGAGAAGATGTGCCTGACAGTTTCGCAGCGGCAACTGGTTGACGCTTTCTACGCGTTCAACTGCGCAGCCCAAGACCTCTCTCCGATCTGCATTCAATTTCTTGAACGATTGTCGGATGCCGTCATTCCTGATCCTCCGAGGACGAGGGAAATGATCGCCCAAGGCATCGGTCATCGATACGCCGGAAAGGTCATCTTCATGAACGAACCGGCAAAAGGAAGTGATGCAGACCTGAGCGAAGATTTCTTCATCTACTGGAAGAATAGGCTGCACCGCCCTGAGACTTTTGCTGCGGACTATTGTCAAGGTGCGAAACGACCCGCAATTTTGGGCTTCGGAGGTGAGTGGCGAAGTGAGAAGACGGACCCTGATGATGTTCTGGACGAACTCCTTGAATTTGTGATGGGCGATGCTCAATTTGCCCCTGGCATCGATGTCAATCTTGTGAAAGAGACAAGGGCTCTCGTGATTCCCAAGGCCAAGGCAGCGCCAGGTCCAGGCGAAAGTTTGGCAAGGGCTACACGGACCCAAGCTGAGACATCAGAGCATCGCTGGCGAGGAGCTGCCGGGAGTGACCAGACCTATGATTGGCAGCAATCGTCCTCATCGTCTTCATGGTGGTCCTCATCCAACCGCAACTGGTGGCAAGATGATCGCGGTCGTAGCAGTGATTGGCGAGGACACGACTGGTGGAGTCAGCGCAGGTGGTGAACACGACGCACAGCGGGAGCTGTTGCCTGTGGAAAAGGGAATGAAATCTACGGGTGACTCGGCTGTCTTTGTGCACTGTGTTTTCCCTCATCGCACCGCGGGAGCGGTTGCCTGGATAACCGTTTCTGTGATGCACCGGGGGACCGGATGCCTGATACCAGCAGCTAATTCGTTTGAGTTCAGGTCGATGAACTTGGCTCTCAATCCTTGCAGTAAGAAGCGCACATCTTTTGTCGTGCTTTGTCGCCACGCGGGAGCGTGTGCCTTGACGGCTTTGTTCCTGCTTTCTAAAAGGATGGCATTGCACCTCCTGTTCCGCTGCGCCAAAAGGAGTTACCTTTGACAGCTTGCGTTGAGCTTTCATGCATGAATCCGTTGAGACATGTTCAACACTAGCATCAAAACATTACAGTGCTTTATGTGATCCGTCCATGAGGTCAATCATCCTCTCCATCTCAAGGCACGTTCCGGTTCGATGCTTCGCACGTACCGGGGGACCGGATACCTTCGTAGGTCCTTAATTAGTGCACTGTACATAACTTCACTCCTCCCATTTTCGTTCAGCGGGGGGTGTCGTTTCACGCTAGTATGTCTAATACATGTCTCACTTACCTACCGTTTGGCTCAAGGAAAACCAGGTGCGACTAGTTGGTACTTTTCGGTCGTTCTCCTGTAACTACACCTCTCACGTCGATGCTGATGTCACGGAAAGAGGCTGTAGCATGGTGTAGCCCACTACTTGCAGACATGGCAGGAGATTCAATCGTTGAAGAAGGCACAAAGAGATTTGCTGGCGAAGATGCAGTCGATGAAGCACGATCGATCTGCACCAGTCGCAGCGATACAAGAAGAAATCACGCACCTAGGCATGACATCGGACAGCCACATGTTTTTTGACATTCAACAAAGGCAATACATACCTAACCCCTTTGTCTTCAGCTGGTGTGGGTCAAGTCTTTGGGACCAAGACCTATGATACCTATGTGATCCTGCTGGGGCTTGTTCCACCCTCTTGTTTGGTTGTTCAGCTCTGAAAAAGACCCGAGGCCTTCGCTGGGCTCCCGAGAAATCGCTTTGTTGAACGCCTGCCTCACCAGTGCTTCGGAACGCTCTTTGGGTGAGCTCAAGGCTTTGCTCCTGCGCCTGGGCCACGCGCTCAGCGAACAGCGCGGAAGTGCCGAGTTTCAGGAGATCCTTCGGCTGATCCAGGCGGGCACCGGAACCATCCGGAACCCGCGTTTTCGGGCCAGTCAATGAGTTGGTGACCTTGACCGAGTGCCGGTTTGTCCCTTGGAGTGGAGTTTGGGGTTCAGCTAGCTCAACGACTAGGCAAAGGTCTTTGTGGTTGCCGAACCACAAGTTGAAGGCTCATGATTCAACCGCAACAACACTGGTTGAAGATGTGAAGTTAAGAGTTAAAGTATCCGCACCTGGGAGCGGAGCCTTAGGCCCCACCACTGTTTTCAAGTTGCAGTTTCAGTTTCTGTTTGTTTTTTGTTTTTGAGCGTGCAGTGAAGTGACATCAAACGAAAATCACTGAGAGAGACCCCCTAAAATCTCTGAGATTCTTGGTAGATGACCTTCCTCCCCTGCCTTCCTTCAGTTCTCGTCTCGAGGCGATCCCTATCCTGGACATTCCCGAGTCCATGGAGACGGGCTCCCAAGCCGATGCCGACCACCCGGCGATCGGCCAGGAAGAGCCGGGACCTGAGGGCAGCGGCACGTCCTTTGATGAGCCTTATAAAGATACGGAACATATCAAGAAGTTTGGTTGGAGAAAGAAAGAGAGAAGGGAATGAGAATGAGACACAGTTTCGCTATCGATGATTTGTCTCCCACGTCTAACTGCCGGCCTTTTGTTGCAAATGATGCACTGAGATCCTGAGAACTGGGATCTATTGGGTGTGTCAAACACCACCGCGTCATTAATTTAGTGCATGTTTAGTACCTGCCATATTTTTCCCAACATCACTTCAGAATCAAGTTTGCTCACCCTGCTGTCCATGTGTAACTGCAGATTCAGATACCGATATCTATACATGATCACCCACTCATGGCAACCTAGCACCCTAGCACCCATCTTACTTAAGACTTGACTTAATCAGTGCTAGTCCTTCTTACTCGTATCTTCTTGTTGCTGCATGTCCTACCCATTTGACTCGAGTCTTCGAGTCAGGTTGGAGCTGCTCCATGTGGGTCTGAAGGCTGCTGGGAAGCACGTGTCCCCTGACCTGGCTAGCCTTCTATCGCAGCTGGGTCAAGGCGCGGACGGTGCGCGGAGGCCCTCGAGCCCCAGTGGGGTTTGGCGCGCTTTTTCTCGGAACCTTGTTGCGGGAACTGCCCAAAAGTTGTATTGACGAGGGGTTTGGCCGCTGTGCTTGCGGAGCCCTCCACGATTACGTTGGCATCCAAACCCTCCAAACCATATATATATATGTCTTCATTTTCAGGTGCGGAGTCACAACCAACCAGTTTCTTTCACAGAAAGTGGGCTCCGTTCAACCGAATGGGATTGTTTTGGTGCCCCCAAAACCTCCGCTTTGGGCGTCCATATGCCGGGTCTACTACAGACATACATAATGAGGAGTCAACCTACCCGTATTATTCCCATATGACCATATGTTCGATGTTACAGATATTATATGATTCATTAGCATATGTAACATTATGTCATGTGATTTCGATGCTGAGTCAAGACGCCACTCATATGAGTCATATTTCTCAACGCTTCCAGGTGTTGCCGAGGGCAGTGACCTGAAGCGTGTGGTGCAGCTCATCCAAAAAGTGACCCGACCGCGAAATCAGCGAAGCTGAACACATTCTGTAGGCTGTGTTGGGGGCTGATGAGTTGGACCATATAAGAGGCCCCCCCC